TAAAATTATTGATGACCCTGTTCTGATCGGGTTCCAAGGGCCGATTAACTAAATTTGAGTCATTCGAGTCATTTTTTTTTTAATTGTCATGTATCATGCATGTACGAAGTAGAGTTTAATAAAAATTAACAGTTTTTCATTAGAAGAAAAAACCTAAATTGAATATAGAATGATCTGAATCTGTTATCTCTATTTAATTATTAGACCGGCGATTGTACTAATCTTAGTATCACTACTCATACTACTTTTCACATAATTGATAAAACAATGGAAGAATATCATCCTATTCTTACACCGGGATAGGATAAATCATTTTTCTTTAATAAAAATCCGAAAATCACAACCAAATGACCCAAGAGTTATTAAATTGCATGCAGTCACCGGATGTCCTAAAATTGTCCTCGCAAAAAATAACAAAGAACAATGGATAGCTGTAATAAAAAAAAACCAGTGAATCATTTTCATTAGCATTAGAAACCAATCCAATATCTCATGCATTGTATATGCATATACGTATTTACTTGTCGAGTATGTAAATAAAATTAATATTGGATCTGAGATTTCTAAACACAAGGTTCCGTCAGCTGGCATTTTCATTACTCTGTTTATTGGTGTGAAAATTATGCGTGTAAGTGGGGGTTGCTATATGTATTAGGGAGACCATGGGATAATATAGCAAGAGAGGGATGACGAAATCAAGGGAGAAACACAAAAAAAATTATTAATTAAGAAAATGGTATGTGCGTACTTGCATCTTGGTTTTACGTAATTGTTTTTATAATAATGGTTCGTAATATCTGAGATAAACAAACAATTATGTGCATCAGGATATGTATATAATAGTCGAAAGATACGGAAAAACGTATATCGTACGTCTGTGCGAAATTCTTGGTTTCACTTGATAAATTATTTTGTTTCGAGAGGGAACACATCTTTTTCTAGTCGGATATTTTCATCCTTTCTCTTCAATTTAAGTTCCGTTACGTTTTCATGATTTATGCTAGGATAAGTTAAAAAAAAATTAAGCTCTTGTAGCTTCTAGCGGCTTGGTGGTCTAGTGGTATGATTCTCGCTTAGGGTGCGAGAGGTCCCGGGTTCAATTCCCGGCTAAGCCCCGCTTACATTTTATTATATTCTTTAAGCTGTTATAACTTCAAATTTTGGAAACAGAGTTGTATGAGGAATCAGTTACACCAGATGTAATCTGTCATAATACAGACACAACCCATATTAGATAGAAGGTTTTCCCGCCAAAAATGGCGGGGATTGGGCGGAACAACAAATTGTTCCAATTAATCTAAATAAATCTAACAAAGGGAGTTATTTCTGAAATTATTGTTATTATTTTCGTCATTTGACGCCAATTCCTAATTAATAAAATGTGACGTGTCGTATTCCAGTTACCTAAATGTATGAATGATGGTGGCAAATAAACATTAAATTTTTAACAAACAAACAAAAAAAAACCTTTCAAGGTTGATAATAAAAACATGACATGTATTAGATGATGCATTACATGTTGCGCCTCATAGCTTTCTAGGATTGACGGTTTGATGAAATAAATCCCTGATAACAATGTTAAAAATGCTTATCAATGTCTTTCAGCCTAACCTGTTTCAGATGATTAGTTAATTACCTGTTATTTCAAACCTCTAAAACCGGGTATCAGATGAGAGATTTTCTCACGAAATTTCACACAATGTAAAAAAATAGACCCTTAGATAACACCACCCACCCACCCAAGACTAAAAATTTAATTTCCGTATATTTAAGGTTTATTGGTATCATTGTCCGCTAAATAAAAATGAATAACGAGTTGATTCTATTTACGTCAATTTTAGGATTCAAAATATATCCTTTTCTTTTTTTTTGTCTTTACTTTGTTTCATTCATTTCAAATACTTTTAACACAATGGATAGAATGTCAAGATATGTATTTGAAAGAAAGAGATAGTACAATTTTCCCCTTCTTCCGTTAATTGTGCTCATTGAATGAATGGAATATTTGGATCAATCTTTCATAAATCATTTTTTTACTCTTTTCCTTGTTCATCGTTACATTAGCAAATAACTTAATAGGGCATTTTTTTCCCCAAGGCACAATATCAAATTTATATTATATTACAATAACATAATTAATATACTTAACAACCTTCTAAACGCATACATGTACATACATACTCCCCCCACACATAACAACAGAAGCGTACAAACAAAAACAATAACAATAACTAACGGCAAGTGAAGCATATTATTTATTATACATAAAAGTAAAAAAAATTTTTCAATAGTTTTATATATATTATGTATGCGCATTGTATGCATGTAAAGTAAGTATTTATTAACAATATAATTTTAAATGTATATTTAAACTCGTTGAGTCTCGAATGTAGAAAAAAGAATCAGAAGAAAAGCAAAAGAAACGAGCATATTAAAAGAAAGAGAAAGCTTTATTAATCCTTTTTCGCCTTTTCCCCTTCTTTACGAACCTTTGACGATAACTCTTCTTCTTTTTCATATTTTTTTCTCGTAGTAATAATCTGTATTTTATTACTATTGATGTTAACGAACGTTTACGCTATTCCGAAAAAATTTTTATCTGAAACGAATAACCCACTTTTTTTATAAACGAATTTCGTCTTCGTCACAAATCATCTTTTTATATTCCATTTATCCCGTTCTCTTGTAACGATATACAAATTACAAACAACAAAAATTATAAAAGAAACTTTAAAAAATCCCGCAAACATTTAATTTAATAAAAAAAAAAAATAATACCATCCGATCATTTCATTTTTTTATTTTATGCATTTTATATATTATAATAATCAATAGCTTTTATATTACCATTATCATCATTGCTATTGCTATTAACGTTAATAATCCGAAATAATATTCACGTTGTTCATATCAGTTTACATAAACAATTCAAACTAAATATTTCCAATTATTATTTCATTTTGACTTTACTCATTAATATAAAAAAATTATTATACACTAATTAATAATATAAATAAAAATTTTACTTCCCATAATTTTAATATACATATATATGTGTATATATAAAAATTTTTCATTTTAAAAATTCCTTTTATTTTTTGCCATAGGCATTTTATTTTATCTATACATTCAATAATAACAAGTTTTTCCTATAACAAACAAAAGCATCTCAGTTTTGAGACGTGAATATTTAAACTTCAATTCTATTTTTTTTCTCTCAAGTTTGTCTCTTCTTTGTAACGCGCGTTAAAAATCTCTTAAAATTCTCCGAGGTGACGAGACATTTTATTTTATAATAATTATACTAAGTAAAAAAAAAAAAATTTATTTTATTCTTTATTCTATTAATATCATTATAAGTATTAATATTACTACATCAAACGTACTTTTAATATAATTCATATTTACACAAACCTAAAAAAACTGTGCACAGTCAAAGAAATAATTTTATAAAAGATAGAAGATAAAATACAATTTTTTCCTTCTCTCTTACCCACCGTTCTCGAATCCTTCGACATATCTCACTCGACGTTTGTCATCCTCCTATTAAACTCTAAGCATACAAATATATATATTCAAAATTTCTTTTTTTTTCATCTATTAGCTCATCTAATATTTATTTAAAAATAATCATCTTGATTGTGATTATTATCACTTTTGTCCTTCAGATTTATTCATACACATCCAACGAGAACGACTGTTTATATAGCAATCATCTCTATTCAATCTTTTTTTACGCCCTTTTTTTACGCCAAATCAAACGAAATAATATTACTAATATATATCTAAATCACACATATATATAGTATACCAAAAATATATATAAAGCGATTTGTCCTTGACGTACTTGATCAATTTTCGATAAATCAACACAATTTTGTACGACAAAATCCTGAACATAATGGATCTCAAATGTATTCTAAATGAAGATTCACGCACGACCAACAGTCATAATCTTGAAAAGAACAGAATGTTAGTACGAATGGGAAACAATGATATGAGTGGTGTGTATGGGGTAAACACGGCAGTTATGCCAGCAAGTCCTGCACCAAGTACGAATAGTATCGACTCAGAAACGATTCAACTAGAAGCGGATCGTCCTTTTGAGTGCAATTGGCTTGATTGTGGTAAAGCTTTCTCGAGACGATCCGATCTCGCACGCCATAAAAGAATTCACACCGGGGAACGTCCATATCATTGTGATTGGCAAGGATGTGGCAAACAATTTATACAACGCTCGGCTTTGACAGTTCATTTTCGAACCCACACCGGTGAAAGACCCCACACGTGTGAACATACAGGATGCGGAAAATCGTTTAGTGATGTGAGTCTTTAATTATTAACCATCTATTCGTGTTATCTAGTTATCTATTTTGTTTCTTGATATCTCCAAAAAAATCAATGTTTTGTTTTTCTCCTCCTTTTTTTTCAATTTGGCGTCAAGTATTTCATTATTGAAAAAAAGAGCGGCGTATACTGTGCGTTTTTGTTTACTTAACCTTTTTTATTCAATCTTTTTTCTTTTATATAAACAGAAATTTTTAGAGTACACTAATCATTTCTTATTCCCAAATTTTTTTCATACCAAAAATAGTCTTCATCACTAGCCCGTCACCGCCGCACACATACTGGTAAAAGACCATACGTATGCTTACATCCAGGTTGCGGGAAGACTTTTACTCGGAGAACCACTCTAACCCGGCATAGAAAGCAGCACAATCCTGATTGGAGAGAGTACAACACGTATGTGATTTTTGTGTTCGGGTTTTCGTGTTCGTTTGTTCTAAAATTGTACTCATTAAAATCTTAATTCGTCATCAAAACAGCGCCTATGATTCAAGAAGACAACAATCATGTAGACAAGGTCATAATAATAATGGGTCATACAATGGACCGCCAAGTCCGCCTCCAACACAAACCGATTGTTATCAATTAAAAACGATGTCTTACTCTTTAGAATACAATCAACAGCAACAATCACATAACAATAATAATAGGTATTATGATTGCTGTAATATATTACCGGCAATCAATTGTCTTTATATGCCGAATTCAGCGCACATATTGTCGTCAAAAATTTGTCGAAAAGCCAATAATCTCTTGAGCATTTCTACCGCGTCACAATCTCGCTTTATGCCATACAAACCACCAACTACCATTACCGACAATGCAAATCAACTTTCAAATCAACAAAATGTTAATGAAATTTATAAATTCGGATATCCATCGCCAATTGAAACCTCATTGCCATTAACGAATGACCAAACATTTGGTCGATATTCGCAGTAATGGGGTGCAAAATAATGTGTTCTCGAATTTTAACGAATTTATATTAATCTAATAACAAATCCATCCATTCATCGAAATAATTATCACATAAAGCCGAAAAAACACAAGATCATATAATCATTATTTATTTATTCTTTTCATTATTATATGATTTCAACGATTTATTATTTTATCTTCTTTTTACCATGTAGTTCCTGAAAAAACTCTGTTTCGTTTCGTTCATATTTTCTGTTTTATTCTGTTTTTCTTGCTTTTTATTGCATTTAATCAATTAATTCGCATTTGCAAATTCACACATTCACATTTTTATATACATATATTTCATAGAAGGCCAGGTCTCGGAAAAGGGTTTTTTCACATTTCATTTCTTTTAATCTTTCTCACACACACACACACACACTCATATATAGATACAATCATTAATTCATTAATATTGCATTTTTACTTTTACTTTTTAATTTTTGACCATCATTATTTTATCTTTTTTTTTTTAACGGAGAGAATGAGAAATTTACAAGTCACGCATTCCCTTCACACAACTTTAATCCCTTATAATACAACCAGTCTACCTTTTTTTATATATAGTCCCCTACAAACGCCTTTTTTTAAAAATAAGCTTTCCTTTTTCTCACTTTCTATGCCTTAATTGTAATTTTTAATCACACCCAATCCCTTTTTCCAATCAACCAAATATTACGTCGATTTTTTTATACATACTAATAGATTTAATACACACATGTATAGATTTAATTTTTTCTCTTAAGATAAACAACATAATGACAAGAAAAATAATACACACAAAAAACAAATACATATAGAACATCCCCATTTTTTTCTCTTTTCACTTCTGACAACCAAAAGTACCAGAATCTCTATTCCCTAATATTAACTTAATTATTTTTAGTTTAATGGTAAATAATAATTATTTGGACAGTACAAGATATTCATATCCGACGAATGTTAAAAACGAATAATAAAAAATTCAAAAAAATTCCAGTCAAAAAATTGCCGTCGCATACATTGTGTGATTCAAGGCGATTTTAAGCGTGAATTTATTCAATAACATGAGAGGGGTGAGAGAATGATGACAAAAATTCTTGATAAAAATCTATTTTATTGGTATCTCTCGAAAAAAGTTGCGCGTTATAGCAAATTATTGACGCGTTTATATGTACATAGGTTAAACTACTAAACGAATTATAATTCAATTTATTTGATAACGCAAAGAATATTTTATAATTAAATTTATTGATAACGCAAGAATTATTTTATAATTAAAAATTATATAGTTGTGGGGAACTGGCTACATTTTGTGCATGTGACATCAAAAGGCCAAATATGTATATAATTTACCATAATGTTTATTTTACACAAAAATAAATACAAGTAAATATCTTCAGTCTTTCCTAAAAAGGCATTCCAATATCCACATACTTGGAGTTTTTCTCTGAGGAGAAAATTCAATGAAAATCTGTTTATTTCTTTTTCACCACTAATTCAAAAAAGATAAATTAAAAATCTAAACATGAAAAATCAAAAAACTATAAATAAAAACAATACCCTGAATCACATCCTCATTCTCAACCACATGTGATAATCCGACTCGTTGTGGATTATGTTTCGTTGAAGTTCCCTAATTGATTGATAGGAAAATAAATTAGCATAATAAATTTTGACTAAATAATCAAATTAGAGCATTACCCATATTAACGCGTATCGAAATTCTTCTGCTAGTGATCGATGAATGGCGTGACACTATTTTCAATGGAATGCATATCAATAACAAGAAGTATGCAAGATAATATAAGCAAATAAAATTTACTTACTACGTGTTCAACAGTAGAGCCATTTCTAACGATCAAGCCACCCTCAAAATCAGGATATTCTTTTTTAAAAAAAATAAACTTTGAGCAAAAACTTTCAAAAAAAATCATGAATAAATATAATATGAATTACCTCCTCGTTTTTTAGTATACACACGCAATAAATTAAGATGCCGCCATACCTCTTGCACTAAATAATCTAAATTCAAATCTAATTCACAACTAATAGATGAAATAAAAATTTAAACTATTTTTTGAAAAAAAAATTAGGTTTCATAAATTTGGTTTCTTTATTTACCTTATTACAATCGTATTTGGTTCTCTAGCAAGACGATCCAATTCTTCCAAAGTAATCGAATCTATTTTATTATAACACTTTTAATTTTTTTTTGAAATTAGTGAACAGTAGCGAAACTTAACTTGATTAAAGAATGAAAACAAAGTTAATCAACTTACATAAAGACACTTAATATATTTTCGATTGCCCAAAACTACATCGATAAATTCGTCCACTGTAATATCTTCTCTTATTAACACTTCTGCATTGAATATTTCTATGATTCAGAACAAAATTAAATAAATAAAAATAAACTAAATTAAATTAAACAAATTTACTTAATAGATAAACAATAAAACACATACTATAATCATGTAAAATTTGGTATACCATTTGAGCATTCACATGAGTTAATCGAACAGTTGAATTGAAACTTATCCCCCCTCCTGTTTTAACCTAATAATATTATTATGGGTAATATTCTTAATACAATATTAAAAAAATATATATACAAAAAACGATGCATTTCCATACCTTGAAATAAACATTAGGCTTCTGTTTATTCAGTCGAATCCCAACAGCTTCTAATTCCCGTTCTAGCAATACTCTAAGAAAATTTTTAAAATTTAGATATTCTATAAAAAATTAAAAAAAAACCAAATAAATAAATTAATTTACCGTTGTTGACGACTCTTAGTTGCATCCAGCATCATAAGAACCACATCTGCTGTTTTAGCAACTGCAATAACCTGTCTACCACGCCCTTTGCCTAAATTAATAGATAAAATAAAAATCTATTTGTTAACACTGAATAATAATAGATATAAATAAATACAGAATGATTGATAGAATTGTTACCTTGAGATGCTCCCTCAATGATTCCAGGTAAATCAAGTAACTGAATATTAGCTCCATTATACTCGATCTTTCCTGGAATACACGTTAGGGTGGTAAATTCGTATGCACCTGCTTCTGAATGGGTTTTTGTCAATTTATTAAGTAAGGTAGACTTGCCCACCGATGGAAATCCTATTAATGCGACTCGCGCATCCCCACTTTTCATTACATCAAATCCTTCTCCCTATATCATTCATTATATGTCATTAGGGGTTAATAAAAATAACGCAATCATTTAAAATTTACCTTGACTCCTCCTTTGGTTGGCTCTAATAATTGAACTCTATATCGTGCTAGCTTTGCTTTTAATAAGCCAAGGTGATACTCCGTGGCTGAAAGCCATTAAAGACTATAAGATAATTTGTGTCATACTAAAGATTATACTTAGGATCCATTTTCTTTGTTCATCTACCTTTGTTTTTTTGAGTTCGTGAGATTTCTTTCTCTATTTCTTGGATCTTTTCAAGAATGCCCATTTTTATTCTTTATTTTCTTGAAAAAAAAACTATCTCGAATTTCAACCAACCAATAGGATTTCGACCAACCAATAGAATTTGAATCTCTGGCCATGTGATGATTTTTAAGGAGTAAACCAATCAAAAATAAACGTTTGTCTATGACAAAAAAAATGTTTCCTTCCGAAATTTTACCAAATTTCGCGTGACCATTTGAATATCAAACAATGCCACATGTTTTAACCTAAAACTTACATGAAAGATAGACATCATTCGCAGAATGGCATTATACTTGTCACGACTACTGAATGTGAATGGCAGAATAGCTGTGGCGAGTTCAGTCGCAAAGAAGTGGCCATCTTCGAGTATCTTTATAGCGTACAAGGTCAGACGCGTCTCTGACAGAGGGAAAAGAATAAGCAAGCTAATAATATACATGATTCTGTATTCAGTCTCTTTATTGACAAAATTACATACCAATTACTTGGGTCGTGAAAACTTTCAAACGTGTTTCCAGCTCAACTTTACAGTTCAGATGGTCACAAAGCAGCATTACAAGATTGAATATATCAGTTCTGATTGTCTCTTTAGAGTTCCCGCAAGCATGATGAGATGTGGAATTTCACGGTGGATCCGCTACTTTCACATCTCATGGTTATCTGAGAAGGAATAGAAAGATAATTCCAGAGATTAGTCAATACTCTAGATCCAAAGGAAAAGAATTACACTGATTAGTTAATTTATTTGTAGCAAACACATCAAAAAAAAGGAATTTTGACAAACAAGCTAGCACCATCCATAATTTACATGAGAAGATTATCACATTTAACCAACAAAGATCACATTATACTTGACAATTAAGAATCAGCACTCTAATTAATACTTCAGTTAGAATTCTCATTCCAGTTCTATCTTCATCAATTTTAGTTTCAATATTAAACATCTTTTTTACTAATTTCTTGAATAGAAGAAAAACAATTCCAGTTCAAGCAAGAAATACAAGAGAAGAAAAATCTGAAGAGAAAGAAATTAAAAATCCTATTATTCTAGATTCATTTCAATTATCATCTTCAAAAAAATCAAGAAGAGATGACTGAGAATATTATATAATAACTTGTTCAAGTTCTTGGATCATTAATAAAAGTAATAATAATAAATAAGTTAAGTTATTAATAGTATTTCTTCCTATTTATAATAGAAGAGCACATGAGGATTCAATCAGTTGGATTGAAGAATTTGAATGATTAGCTAATATTAATAATATTATTATCATAATAACATAAATTTCTTTAATTTCATAATTTTTTGAACTTGAAAAATTTGATCAATTAATTGATCTTTAAAAGATATGTAATTTTGAATAATATAATTAGTATATTAGTTATAAATTCAATCATGATTCAATAATATTTTTGCAATAGTCTTGCAATATTTTTGTAATATTTTAAGATTCTTAATGAATAATTAGTTCTAAAATCAATAACAGTTTATAAATAATTTAATAATAGTTTAGAAATGCTTTAGAAATGGTTCAGCAACAAATTTCATTTATTTTTATTTTTATTATTATCTTTTTTTTTGAATATCTATTTTATCTTTTCATTTTATTTTGTCATTTATATTATTATTTAACTTATTACATATATCTTATTTCTTTATTTTTACTTGTTTATTTATTGATCTTTATCTTAAAGTTTATAATTATAATCTAGAGTAGCAAATAAGTTTAAATAGAAATTTGTAAAATCTCAAAAGATATATAAATATCTCTGCTCTGAAAACTGAAATAAATATACTTGAATAGTAATAATTCATTTATCTCTTGAAAATACTTGAGTTATACTTATCTTATAATTTTTCTTTGATTTTTTCTTGATATCTTGCTTTCATTTATCTCTTCTATCATAATAGATTATATTTTAGTTATTTATAAGTTTTTCTTATCTGAAAAACTTAAGTAGTAAATGTCCTCTACTTAAATTAAATCAAGTATATTTATTTGATTTAAAAGATTCTTATAAGCTTTCTCATGTATAAAAGCTTAATTTAGCATTTATTACTCTAGTTTAATATTTATTATCTTTATATTAATATTCATTATTTTTATTTTTGTATTTGTTGTATTTGGTATTTGTTACCTTGATTTTTAGTATTTATTACTTAGTTTTTGATATCATCTCTTAGTTTAATATTCATAATCACAATCTTATTTTTATATTTTTATTTTATTTTATTTTTATCTTGTATTGATATAATACTCATAAGTATTGG